TCACATCCCTGCCAATACTTGTTACTTGCTGTATTTCTAATAATATCCATTCTGACAGGTGTGAGGTGATATCTCATTATGGTTTTGACTTTTGTTTCACTGATGATTAGTGATGTTGAGCATCTTTTTATGTTCATACTGCCCACGTGTATTTCTTCTTGAGAAAATGTCTGTTCTGCCCCTCTGCCCATTTTCTAATTGAGTTGTTTTTCTTTTTTTTTGTTTGTTTGTTTTTCTGATGTTGAGTTATATGAGTTTGTTGTATATTTTGGATATTAACCCCTTATTGGACATATCATTTGCAAATATCTTCTCCCATTCAATAGCTGGACTTTTCATTTCATTGATAGGTCCTTTGCTGTGCAAAAGCTTTTAAGTTTCATGTAGTACCATTAGTTTATTTTGCTTTTGTTTCCTTTGCTTGCAGAGACAGATCCAAGAAATTGCTAAAATGAATGTCTGAGAGCATATTGCCTATCTTTTCTTTTAGTAATTTTATGGATTCAGATTTTACATTTAAGTCTTTAATCCATTATGCGATTATTTTTTGTATGGCGTGAGGAAGTAGGTCAGTTTGGTTTTTTTGCCTGTGGCTGTCCAGTTTTCCTAACTGATTTATGGAGAAGACTGTCTTTTCCCCATTGTATATTCTTGTCTTCTTTGTCATAGATTTATTGATCATGAGTGCATGGGTTTATTTCTGGCTATATTCTGTTGCGTTGTTCTGTTTTTCTGTTTTTGTACCACACAAGTTTGATTACCTTAGTTTTGTAGTACACTTTGAAATGAGAGAGCATGATACCTCCAGCTTTGTTCTTCTTTCTCAGATTGTTTTGGCTATTTGTAGCTTTGTTGTTTCCATACAAATTTTAGAATTATCTGTTGTAATTCTGTGAAAAGTACCATTGAATCTATAGATTGTGTTGGGGAGTATGGTAATTTTAACAGTAGTAGTTCTTGCAGTCCATGAGTGCGTGTGTGTGCACACTCAGTTGTGTCTGACTCTTTGTGACCCCATGGACTGTAGCCCACCAGGCTTCTCTCCATAGAATTTTCCAGGCAAGAATACCAGAGTGGGTTGCCATTTCCTCCTCCAGGGGATCTTCCTGACCCAGGGATCGAACCAGCATCTCTTGTGTCTTCTGCACTGGCAGGTGGATTTTTTTTTTTAAACCAAATGCATCACCTGGGTATGATGTATGTATCCATTTGTTTACATCATGTTCAATTTCTTTCATCACTGTCTTAGAGTTTTCTGAATGTAGCTCTCCTACTTTCTTGGGTTAGATTTATTCCTAGGGCCTTTATTTTTTTTTTAATGCAATTGTAAATGGCTTGTTTCCTTAATTTCTCGTTCTGATAGCTTGTTAGTATATAGAAACACATCAGATTTTTGTATATTAATTTTGTTATCTAGTTATGTTACTGAACTCATTGATGAGTTCTAATAGTTTTTGGTGACATCTTTAGGATTTACTGTACATAGTTTTAAGTCATATGCTGGCAATGATAGTTTTACTTCTTCCTTTCCAGTTTGGATTCCTTTTATTTCTTTTTCTTGTCTGATTTCTGTAGTAGGACTTCCAGTACTATGTTGAATAAAGTCACAAGAGTGGGCACCCTTGTCTTGTTCCTGATTTTAGAGGTACTGCTTTCAGCTTTACACCATTGAGTATGATGTTAGCTGTGAGCTTGTCGTAAATGGCCTTTATTATATTTGAGGTATGTTCCCTCTATGCCCACTTTATTGACAGTTTTTATCACAATTCGGTGGTGGATTTTGCCCAAAGTTTTTTTTCCACATCTATTGAGATGACCATGTGATTTTTATTTTTCAATTTGTTAATGTGGTATATCACATTGATTGATTTAGCGATGTTAAATCATCCTTGCATCCCCAGGATAAGTGCCATTTGATCATTTTAAATTTAAAATCATCTTTTAAATGTATTGAATTCAGTTTGTTGATATTCTGTTGAGAAATTTTGCATCCATCAGTGTTACTGGCTTGTAATTTTCTTTTTTTGTGATGTCTTTGTCTAGCTTTGTTATCAGAATGATGCTGGCCTCATAGAATGACTTTGGAAGCATTTTCAATTTTTTGGTATAACTTGAGAAGAGTAGGTGTTAATTCTTCTTTAAGTGTTTGGTAGAATTCAACTGTGAAGCTGTCTGGTCCTGGACTTTGGTTTGTTGGGAGTTTTTTGATTACTTATTCAATTTCCTTACTGGTAATCAGTGTATTCTTATTTTCTGTTTCTTCCTGATTCAGTCTTGTGAGATTGTATGTTTCTAGGAATTTATGCATTTTCTAGAGTGCATTTTATTGTCATATAATTGTTCATAGTAATCTGTTGTGACCCTTGGTATTTCTGTGGTGTTGGTTGTAACTTTCTCTCATTTCTGATTTTATTTATTTGGGCCTTCTCTTTTTTCCTGATGAGTCTGGCTTAAAAGCTTATCAGTTTTGTTTGTCTTTTCAAAGAACCCATACATTTTTCATTGACCATTTCTATCATTTTTTGTCACTTTTGTTTTACTTTTGCTCTGACCTTCATTCTTTCTTTCCTCTTATTAACTTTGCGTTTTGTTTGTTCTTCTTTTCCCAGTTCCTGTAGGTGTATGGTCGGACTTTTCATTTGAAATTTCTTAAACTTCTGAGGCAAACTTGAATCACCATAAACTTTCCTCCTAGAGCTACTCTTGCTGGACGCCATAGATTTTGAATTGTTGTATTTCTGTATTTTTCATTTGTCTCCAGGTATATTAACATTTCCTCTTTGAGTTCAACCCATTTGTGGGTTGCCTGCCGAGAGGTGTGGATCTGGCCTGTACCATGTCTCCACTGCCTGTTTAGTAGCATATTGTCTACCTGCCACATGTTTGTGAGTTTTGCAGTTTGGTTTTTTTTGTAGTTGATTTCTGGTTTTAATACTACTATGACCAGAAAAGGTGCTTAATATGATTTCAGTCTTCCTAGATTTATTGCGATTTGCCTTATGGCCTAGCATGTGGCCCGTCTGAGACTTCGTTCTGTGTGCACTCGAAAAGAATGTGTATTCTGGTGCTTTTGGATAGAATGGTCTCTATGTATTAGTTAAGTTCTGATTGAATGTGTCATTTAAGGCCAGTGTTTCCTTATTGACTTTTGGTCCATTGATGTCAGTAGGGTGTTAAAGTCCCCTATTATTATTGTGTTACTGTCAATTTCTCTCAATGTCTACTAATGTTTGCTTCATGTGTTTAAGTGTTGGGTACCTTGTAAAGTCGCTCAATCATGTCTGCTTCTTGGTGACCCCATATGGACTGCAGCATGCCAGGCTTCCCTTTCCTTCACTATCTCCCTGAGTTTGGTCAGACTCATGTCCGTTGAATCAGTGATGCCATCCAACCATTTCATCCTCTGTCGTCCCCTCTCCTCCTGCCTTCAGTCTTTCCCAGTATCAGGGGCTTTTCCAATGTGTTGGCTCTTCACATCAGGTGACCAAAGTATTGGAGCTTCAGTTTTAGCATCAGTCTTTCCAGTGAATATTCAGAGTTGATTTCCTTTAGGATTGACTGGTTTGATCTCCTTGCAGTCCAAGGGACTCTCAAGAGTCTTCTCCAGCACCACAGTTCAAAAGCATAAATTCTTCAGTGTTCAACCTTCTTTATGGTCCAACTCTCACATCCATACATGACTACTGGAAAAATCATCACTTTGACTCCACAGACCTTTGTCAGCAAAGTAGTGTCTTTGTTTTTTAATACACTGTCTATTTTTGTCATAGCTTTTCTCCCAAGGAGCAAGTGTCTTTTAATTTCATGGCTGCAGTCACTGTGTACAATGATTTTGAAGCCCAAGAAAATAGTCTGTCACTGTTAACATTTTTTTCCCCAAAATATGTATGCTGGGTACATTTATATTTGCAATTGTTATATCTGCTTCTTGGATCAATCCCTGATCATTATGTAATATGCTTCTTTATTTCTTGCTATAGTCTTTGTTTTAAAGTCCATTTTGTCTGTTCTAAGTATTGCTACTCCAGGTTTCTTTTTGTTTCCATTTGCATGCAATCCCTTTTTCCGTTCCCTCACTTTCAGTCTGTATCTGTCTTTAGATCTGAAGTGCTCCTTTGTAGGCAGCATTTATATGGGGTTTTGTGAGGTTTCGTGTGTGTCCTCTAAGACTCCCCTGTGCACAAACCCTGCTCATCTTCAATGCTAGATATTCTGGAGGCTTGTTTTCCTGGTGCAGAGTCCCTGGACTGAGGGCCCATTATGGGGCTTGGATCCTTCTCTCCTTGAGCAGAACTTCTGCAGTTGTGATTATTCTCCCATTTGTGGGTTGCCTAGCCAGGGATGTGGATCTTGCCTGTACCATGTCTCTCCGCCCATCTGTTCATCTCATTGTCATTTCTTCTTTATATCTTTAGTTGTGGAAAATCTTTTCTGCTAGTCATCAGGTCATTCTCATCAATAGTGGCTCTGTAAATACTTGTCATTTTGGTGTGCCCACATGAGGAGATAAGTTCAGGGTCTTAGTCATCTTGGCTACCCTTGTATATATTTGTTCATTTTTATAATGATATGCTTTATATATGATTATGTATTCATTAAAGTTTATGTATAAAGTATAATTCATGTTATATAGCAGTAATTTGGGGGGTACAATTTGTCAAAAAAAGAAAACTAAAGCTAGTTATTTTTTTAAAAAACCTAAAATAGATCATTTCTGATTACAAAATACACATTACAAAACTTTAAATATTAGAAAAATAGATCATTAAAAATGAGTTCTGTAGTTCCTCCATCCCTACTGTTAAGAGTATATTTATAAGCAGTTAACTTTTTTTTTAAATCACTGTGTGATTAGATTTATGAAATGTTTGTTCATGTATGATTAAATTTGTGAAGTAGAATGTAATGAGATGTTCTTTGCTCTTAGGTTTATTCAAATATGCAGTGAGCCAGACTATGTTTTGTGAAATAATATCTCAACATTTTTCTTCATGTTTTAGGTATGTATTCTTTTTGGATCCATGCAATCTGGACTTGATAAACCGGATCAAGTCTATAGCACTGTGTGTAGCAGCATGTCCAAGACAAGAACTGAAAACCATAAGTGATGTTCAGAAGTTTGCAGAGATAAATGGTGAGACATTAGGCTTTCCAAGTCTATAGCATAGTCACTGTTAAATATTATGTTTTTGCCTTTCAGTATGAATTTGTCCTAGCATTAAATAAATCATCATAGAACCTTAGAAAGAAAAAGAAAAGTGAAGATACTTTTGGACTTCCTTGCTATAAATTATTACAGTCACTTACGGAGCTTGTTGAAACACCAGATTTCTGGGCCCTGCCCAGGGAAATTCTGACTGAGTAGGTCTTTGGGTCCTGAAAATTTGTATTTTTTACAAATGTTTCAGGTGATTTTGATGTAGCCTGTATGAGTATTTGGGAAATATGAGACTACTGTATGGGAAATTTGGTTCCCCTCCCCCCCAAGTATAGGTTCAAAGTATTTCAATTAGTTTATTTTTATCCCTGGATGTAATATGTATCTATAATAGGAAATTTGAAAAGTTCAGAGAAATATAATGAAGTCAAAAAACTTCCACCATTTTTCAGTGTGTTAATTGTATATATAATTTTGTGTTTTGCTTTTTTAATTAGACATTATGTCTTAACCATTTTTCAAAGAAATAAGTTATGAGAAACCTTGAGCTTAAATATTTGGGAATTCCCTGAGAAAACAAGCGTATTCAATTTCCTGAACTCTAGCTTTCTTCTCCTAGTTTGCTAATCTCCATGTGCTATCCTCTGCTCATATGACTCACAGCAGTTCTCTTCAGAGAATGTTGTTTTTTTAAAAAACCTCTCTTCAAGGAAGTCTGCATAGTGATAGTCCCTCAAGCTTGTATTTTTCCATGAAGTTTCATGTTTGTATTTTGTGTGCGTGAATCCGGAGAGTTGCCTTTGTTCTGCCCAAATTCACAGGCTAGTTCTCGCCTTGAACAAGAGCTGACTCAGGCACTCACCTGGTGTCAATTCTGACTGGTTGGAGAAATAGCCCAGGAACATAACTATACACATATCAGCCTGGTTCTAGAGTTTAGAGTGTTTCAGATGGAGGTGCTGGCCTTCTGAGGGAGCAGGATGGAGGCTTCCAGACCAACGGTATTCCTGTCCGTCAGCATCAGATAGTAGGAAGAGCATGGGACTGATTTGGATCTGGATTCTAATTCTGCTTCTGTCGCTGACTGGCTCTGTAATGAAGGACAGAGGTATAGCCTGTCTGAGCCTAGACTTACTCATCTGAGACAATGTAGATTTCAAATAATGCCCTCTCTTATGTTGGACTGAGGATTAAATGAGATGATGCATGAAGAGTACTGGGTACTTGGTGGACACTGAATAAACTGTTACCAACTACTCTTTTAAGATCTCATTTTCTCATACATATATTGATTTGCTGAGTCTAATACCTGGACTGTCAGCTCTATCATTATCAGATTTCAGGGAAGAGTGAGTTATTCCTTAAGGGCTTTCCTAAAATATCAGACAGTGTGGGCATATCTAGTGTACTCTGAGAGGTAGTATCGTTGAATGGTTAATTGTATAGATTCTGGAACCAGATTGCCTGGGTTCAGATGTTGGTCCTGCTACTTATTATCTATGAGACCCTGGGCAAGTTACTCAATCTCTCCATGCCTCAGTTTCCCCATCTATGAAACAGGTGTATCTGTACCTGAAGTGCCTCATAGAATTGTTGTGAGGAGTTAATACATGAAAAATGATTAGAACAGTGTTGGGCAAATATAACTTGTTTTAAAAAAAGGATTGGCTACTGCTGTTACATCGTCATTGTTATTATTCTACCAATGGAATGTAATACTTTTCCTGTCTCCAAACTAACTTCTACTGATCTTACATACTGCTGCCATGTTAATACTCCTTATTAATCTCCTATTCAGAAATCAATGGTAAAAAGATAAAATCGAAGTCTATGGGTCTTACCCTGGCATTCAAAACTATGATCTAGTATTGAACTATTTTCTAACATGTTCTCTTGGACCTACTGGGTGTAAGTCTTGGTCCTTGATCCGGACATATCATCTGGAAGGCCAGAAGAGAGCTAGTTCCTTGTTGGCTGTATTGCCTGCTGTGGTGATCCACTGAGGGAAAATGCTCCAGGATGCCGAGCTTTCATGCTTTGTTTCTAGACCCCATCCTTATAAGTGAATATGATACTGAGTATGGCCTTAACAGGGCTTGTTAAGAAGCCCCTTCCAGTGAGTTTTGCAGCTTTGTATTACCCATAGTATCTTGCACAAAGTTGTTGCTCAGGAGTGTTAATGAATAAACATTATTTTAGAAAACAGACCTCTTAGATTGGTGCCTAGAGATAAAGGCACCCTTAGGCTTTTGAGGCAGCTGTTTGCAAAATAAAGTTAGCAGATTACACATTTAAAAAAGTAACAATGTCAACATCAAAAAGCACAGCAGTGGAGGTTGGAGAAGATAATAATTTAAAAACATAAATAGAAAACTATAAAATTGCAATCAAGAGGGAGCCTTTTTTGTAGGGGCCTAAGCACTTTAATTTTAAAAGTATCCCTAAGTTGAAATTTCTGAATTTCTTAAAAGAATCTATATTGTTTTTTGGATTGGTGACTTAAAGCTGGAGGTACAGGTTGATTTGGAAGGAGCAGATAATTTTTATTGTTATCTGTGTCCATTTGCTATTACAGCTCTATTTCTGTTAGAAAATACACAGTTCTTGACCTCAAGTATATACCTCTTAGTCATTAATTTCAGAGATGTGTATCTTTAAAAGATAATATAGATTTAAATGGGAACTTTCTAACTTTCTAACTCTGTAAAAGAATTGTTAAAAGTCCATGAAAGAGCTCTAAGAGAAAGCTGCATAGCTTGTAGAAGAAGACATAAGAGAAAGCTTTCTGATACTGGATTTGGCAATAATTTCTTGGATGTGAACCAGAAGTGCAGGTAACAAAAGAAAACGTAAATAAATTGAACTCATCAAAATTTAAAACTTCCGTGAGTCAAGCACACAATCAACAGAATGAAAGGGAACCCACGGAATAGGAGAAAACATTTGCAAATCTTGTATCTGGTAAGGGGTTAATGTCCAGAATATGTAAAGAACTCCTACAACTCAACAACAAGAAAAAACTACAACCTAATTAAAAAACAGGCAAAGGACTTGCATAGACATTTATGCAAAAAAAGTGTGTGAGTGACTAATAACAAGGATATGAAAAGAGACTGAATGAATATCACTAATCATAAGGGAAATGCAAATCGAAACCACAATGAGATACCACCTCATACCCACCAGGGTGGCTACTATAAATACAAAAACCCAGAATGTAGCAAATGTTGGTGAGGATGTGGAGAAATTGGAAGCCTTGTGCACCATTGGTAGGAATGTAAAATAGTGTGTCTGCTGTATAAAACAATATGAGGTTCCTCAAAAATTAGAAAATGGAACCAGGAGGATCTCTAGGACAGTGAAAATGCTTTGTATGATACTATAATAATGGATACACGTCATTATACATTTTTCCATGCCCATAGAAGGAATGCAGTATCCCTTATAATCAACAAAAAGAGTCCAAAATGCAGTACCTGGATGCAGCCTCAAAAATGACAAAATGATCTCAGTGCATTTCCAAGGCAAGCCATTCAACATCACAGTAATCCAAGTCTATGCCCCTACCACCAATGCCAAAGAGGCTGAAATTGATCAGTTCTGTGAAGACCTCGAGGTCCTCCTAGAACTAACACCAAAAAAAAAAAAAAATGTTGTATTCATCATTGAGTGTTGGAATGCAAAAGTAGAAAGTCAAGAGATACCTGGAGTTACAGGCAAGTTTGGCCTTGGAGAATAAAATGAAGTAGGGCAAAGGCTTACTGAATTCTGCCAAGGGAATGCATTGATCATAGCAAATACCCTTTTTCAAAAACACGAGAGACGACTTTACACATGGACATCACCAAATGGCCAATACTGAAATCAAATTGATTACATTTTTTGTAGCCGAAGACCTGGAGCTGACTATGGCTCAGATTATCAGCTTCTCATAGCAAAATTCAGGCTTAAACTAAAGAAAGCGAGGGAAACCACTAGGCCAGTCAGGTACAACTTAAATCAAATCCCCTATGAATATGCAGTGAAGGTAACAAATAGATTCAAGAGATTAGAACTTGTAAACAGTATGCTTGAGAACTATGGACAGAAGCCTGTAATATTGTGCAGGAGATAGTGAACGGAACCCTCCCAAAGAAAAGGAAAAGCAAGAAGGTCAAGTGATTATCTGAGGAGGTTTTACAATTAGCTAAAGAAAGAAGAGAGAAAAAAAAAAAAGAAGAGACAGAAAAAGCAGGGGGAAAAGGGAAACGTATAGCCAACTAAATGCAGATTTCCAAAGAACAGCACAGAAAGATAAGAAGGCCTTCTTCAATGAACAGTGTATTAAACTTGAAGAAAATAACAGAAAGGGAAAGACTATAGAGATCTCTTCAAGAAAATTGGAGATATCAAGTGAACATTTTGCCCAAAAATGGGCACAATAAAGTACATAAATGGTAGAGACCTAGTAGACTCTGAAAAGATCAAGAAGAGATGGAAAGAATACACAGAAGAACTGTGTAAAAAAGATCCAGATGAACGGGATGACTACAATGGTGTGGTCAGCCACCCAGAACCAGACATTCTGTAGCACGAAGTCAAATGGGCCTTAGGAAGCACTGCTGTTAATAAGACTAGTAGATGCTACAGAATTCCAGTATAACTATTCAGAACCCTAAAGGATGATGCCATCATGGTGTTACATTCAATATGTCAGCAAATCTGGAAGACCCAGAAGTGGCCACAGGACTGGAAAAGGTCAATCCTCATCCATATTCCTAAGGAGGGTAGTACTAAAGAATGTGCTAAACATCAGACAGTTGCACTCATCTCCCATGTAAGGTCATGCTTAAAATCTTGCATGCTAGGCTTCAGCATTATGCAAACCAAGAACTTCCAGATGTCCAATCTGGATTTAGAAAAGGAAGAGGAACAAGAGATCAAATTGCCAACATTCACTGGATCATAGATAAAGCAAGGGAATTCCAAAAAAACCA